TTTGTCACAGTGATGCGCCGAAGGCTGTCCAAAGTAGAAGGCTCCTCCAGCTATGGCCCACAAATGCGTCCTCGTTTACCCCACAATTCGGGGGATGGGTCCGGTGTACCCTTCGTAACCCACCCTATCCACAGATGTATTATTGGCCAACTGGGAGAATCTATTAGAAACAGGACTACAATTTTAAATAAAAACCTTTAAACTTTTAAAAAGAGGTTGGTGGATTAGGTTTTTGAATTTATGCATAATATTAATATTTTTGCTAATTTCAATCCATTTTCTCAATCATCTATTTAACGTTGTCACGGCTGCTAGGAGGCAGGACGTACACCTGAGGTGGCTCAGGCGTAGACCATCCAAATTCACAGCCACTCTTTTCAAGCCTTCATGGTCAACAAAAGCCAGGTCCTTCGAAGGTTGCAGCCAATGTCATCATGGTAGAACTTCCTTGAAGAAAAGAACTCACCAGAATCATCAAACAGGCAGCTAAACTTATCAATACCCATCTTATGCATCTCACAGACCTTTACAGTCATGGAGTCTGAAGGAAAGCAAACTGTACCACTGAGGACCCTTTATACCCCCTTTACACCCCCTTTACCAGTCATTTCAACTTCTCCTATCAGGTAAATGTCTTGAGTGCCCCTGGACAAGAAAAAAACTTCTAAAAACTCTTCTTCCGACTGGAAACTAGTTGTAGATTTGCCTACTGATTAGCCTTTATTTATATGGTTTTATGAGTCTTAGCCTCTATTGTAGACTCTGTTGCAACTTGTGATGGACAAAAAAGTTTTTTGAATCTTGAGTTTCGTTGAAACTATTAAATCGCTTGTCGAGAAGTTTTGCAAAGGCAGGGACCGCTCGAATGTCTTTGTATTGCTCTATCATCCTGTTTGTTCCAGACGGGATTTTTTTATTGGATCTTTTGCTTTTCTTTAGCAGCAGATCAGCTCTCATATTCCCATCCAAGCATCTCAGAGACTCGTCACTGCGTACGCTGACTACAACCAGCGTAATGTAGGTCAGTCAGTCGAATTACTGTAAGCTTCCAGGTGGTTTTTGGTGGGTGGTACAGCGGGTAAAATAAGTTTTGAACACGTCACCATTTTTCTCAGTAAATATATTACTAGAGGTGCTGATGACATGAAATTTTCACCAGATGTCGGTAACAACCCAAGTGATCCATACATACAAAGAAATCAAACCATAAATGTCCAGAAATGAAGTTACTGTATTTGTAATAATGTGGAATGGCACAGGGAAAAAGTATTGAACACGCTTACTGAAATTTATCTAATACTTTGTACAAAAGCCTTTGTTGTCAATGACAGCTTCAAGACGCCTCCTGTATGGAGAAACTAGTGGCATGCATTGCTCAGGTGTGATTTTGGCCCATTCTTCCACACAAACAGTCTTCAAATCTTGAAGGTTTCGTGGACCTCTTCTATGAACTCTGATCTTTAGTTCTTTCCATAGATTTTCTGTTGGATTCAGGTCAGSTGATTGGCTGGGCCATTCCAGCAGCTTTAGTTTCTTTCTCTGAAACCAACTGAGAGTTTCCTTGGCTTTGTGTTTGGGCTCATTGTCTTGCTGAAATGTCCAGCCACGTTTCATGTTCATCATCCTGGTAGTTGGAAGCAGATTGTTATCAAGAATGTCTCTGTACATTTTTCCACTCATCCTTCCTTCAATTATTTGGTTTGCCAGTACCATGTGCTGAAAAACAGCCCCACACCATGATGTTCCCACCTCCAAACTTCACTGTTGGTATGGTGTTTTTGGGCTGATGTGCAGTGCCATTTGACCTCCAAACATGATGTGTATTCTGGCATCCAAACAGTTCAATGTTGGTCTCATCTGACCAGACTATATTCTCCCAGTATTACACAGGCTTGTTTAAATGTTGTGCAGCAAACTTTAAAGGAGCTTCAACATGCTGTTTCTTCAGCAGTGGAGTCTTGCGTGGTGAGCGTGCATACAGGCCATGGTGGTTCAGTGCATTACTTATTGTTTTCTTTGAAACAATCGTACCTGCTAATTCCAGGTCTTTCTGAAGCTCTCCACAAGTGGTCCTTGGCTCTTGGACAACTCTTTTGATAATTCTTTTCACTCCTGTCAGAAATCTTGTGAGGAGCACCTGGTCGTGGTCGGTTTATGGTGAAATAATGTTCTTTCCACTTCTGAATTATGGCCCCAACAGTGCTCACTGGAACCTTCAGAAGTTTAGACATTCTTCTGTAACCGATGCCATCATTATGCTTTGCAACAATAAGGTTGTGAAGGTCTTGAGAGAGCTCTTTACTTTTACCCATCATCAGATGGTTCTTGTGTGATACCTGGTCATCATTTGGGACTGAACCAGCTGATATTAACTTGCACTGACAAGGGGCAGACTTGCTTTCTAATTACTGAGAGAGTTCAGCTGGTGTCTTGCCTTTCCATGCCTTTTTACACCTCCCTTTCTTCATGTGTTCAATACTTTTTCACTGTGACATTCCACATTACTACAAATAACTTCATTTCTGGACATTTATGGTTTGATTTCTTTGTATGTATGGATCACTTGGGTTGTTACCAACATCTGGTGAAAATTTCATGTCATTAGCACCTCTAGTAATATATTTACTGAGAAAAATGGTGACGTGTTCAATATGTACTTTACCCGCTGTATATGGAACTATAGGTCTTTATTTGGTGGAACAGGATTATGCCGTCTGTTCACAGTTTCATGTTCGACCACTCCTTGTAAATAATACAACTTTCTAATTATAACCAAACTGCGGGAGATGTTAGCGCTTATTGAGAAGATTTGTTTAAATGATCATTCTCCAACGATCTGAGCTTAGACAGATTCTGCTGCCTGACATTTTGTTTTAAAAAGCTGTCTTGCTTATCTTTTTTAATGAATGCTTTGTTTGCATTGTACCCATATCTGGAAAACTACCAGAGTAAACTATTTCAAACTGTTTGATCTGTTAAGGATAACCTTTTTAATGTTTGGTTTCCTAACTTGCAATAAGTTGCTATAAACTAATAGAATGTTGTGCTTTCACTCCTTCCAAGTAAATTAAAAGACTTTTCCAAAGGACTCTTGTCTCTGATTGACTTGAAGCTCCACAGTCGCAGGGTTGGACGCCGAATGCTGGTGCTCTGGTTACCTCAGTGATCTAATTACCGCCCGAGCTGTTATTGCATCCTCCCCGTAACAAATGCCTCCTGCCACGGCTCGTACTTAGCCTCTGCCTCTCCGTCGGCGTGTGGCTAATCCGTCATCTACCCAGAGAGAGTAAAACATGTCCACTTGATGCCTTCTCGGTTTACATATTTACACACACACACTCGTGCAATTAGGAGCACGTTTATCGATGGTTCTGGCACCGCTGGGAGTCCCGCCGAGCAGCCAACTCCAATAAATCTCCTGCTCCTGAGGCTGCCAGCGGGCAAAATTGATAAACCTCACCAAAAAAATTAAGACTAGGAATACGTTGAGCTTCAGACTAAGAGAGTTTTCAGTCACTGAAAGTGAGCTGTAAGTTTGAAACTGCTTGATGATCTGTTCACCATAAACAGGTCTTTTGGATTTGTACATTTTTCAGAATGTTTTAAGTTTCTTCCTCTTTTTGCCACAAGCTGTTCCCAAAGTGCATTCAGATTCTGATCCGTGTCCTCCTCTCTGAGTGCTTCATCATCTGATGTGTGTACCATGCTGCCCCCAACAGGATCTTTACAAAACACACCGGCTGACTGTTGAATCTCACAGCTGAAAACACAAGTTCACAAAACAGCAAATCCAAAAAAAACCAGTTTTGAAGCTGACAAAGTCAATCCTGTTTGTCTGTTTCTGAAACTCGGAGTATGGATCAGCCTCATGGATATTCTTTGTCCCATCATTGATTGGGTAATGTGGGTTAATGTGCCTGTTTCCACATGGATAATGTCATTGTGACGGCTTATATGACCTCTTTATGAGCTGAGCAGTCAATATACAGAAGTCTCCACAGTTATTCTAAATCAGCCTGGTGCAAATTTATGAACTTTTTTAGCCTTATAGATCTTTGAATAGACTTTATACAAGAATCTACGTCATTAATTTGAATATTTTACAGTTGCTTTGTGTCTGTGGAGTTTCAGCAAGAAAAAAAGCACAGTTAGGTGAAATTGAAATAAATTATGAAAGCAAATCCTTATAAATCTGGCAAAAACAGAGCAATTGTACCTAAATATTTACTTCTTTGAACATCAGCAAACATATAGTCCTTATTCAATTAAAGTAAAACAAAATGACAAAGTAACATTTGATTTGTGCAGAGAAGCTGGACAGTTTGTTGCGTTTAAAGCTTTACATCAAGTTGCAGAAGAAGAAAAAATAGGTTTCACACCAACTAAAATCCACACCTGCATGACTTTAATCATTTAAGTTAAAAAAAACTGCACTTTTAATAGAGCCTAACTCCTGTCTATAAAGACGTTTGACACAGAGGACAGAAGGTCTCGTTCGGCTTCCCGCTGCTCCACTGAACCAAACGCACCTGCAGCTCTCCCTCTCCCTCTCCCTCTCCCCCTCTGTTTTTTGCAGCGTGAATCCCTCGAGGTTAATCAGATCAAGATAAAGTTCCACACAAACCGCGCACTTCATTTCAACTTGTATTCTGCCTAAACGCAGGCTTTTACAGTCGGGGTTCCCCCTCGGTGCGTCGGGAGCACCTGCTGGCCGCGCGCACCGGGACCACAGATGGAAACAAACTCCAGCTGAGTGAGTTGGAGCGCAGAAGCACGTGAGCTCAGCTCGCTTCACACTTCAGCCTCAGCTGAGTGGGAAAATGTCACACTTCACGCAGAGCTTTATTTCTTAACCCTAAAAAAAAAAAAAAAAAAAAAAAACCAGCAATCAGAACTAACGGAATGAGCGCGTAAACTCGTCTCCAAGCCGCGGCGGTGCCATGAAGAAGAATTACGCGTCTGTTTGGACGCAGCAGACACGTACAGGTGACTGTTCTTACCTTTAAAAACTTCCGCCTGCACGGACAGCAGCAGGGTTAGAGCTGCAAACAAGCAATTGACAACTTTCTCCATGTCGGCAGCGACGCCTCAGCGTTAACCCCCCCAGCCGCGGGGTTAACTGGAAACTCTCCTTTCTGTCCTGGAACTCTGTAAAAAAGGGGGGTGGTGCAGTTCGCAGCTTGTCCCGGTCCTCCGTCCCTTTTTCCTCGGTGTGCCGTCGGGGAGGGACGCCGAACGCGGCTGCTGCTGCTCGGCTGGCTCCGCTCCTTGGAGGAGGAATGTGTGAGTCCTGATTCCTGAACTGCGCCCGCGTGGATTGAGTGGTCCGGTGTTCAGCTCCGGGAGAGCGGCGGCTGTCCGCGCGCAGTCTTCCCGGCAGAGGGCGCCCCTGAGTCCCGCCTGAGAGGAAGAGGACCTCCTCCTCGTCCTGCTGCCTCCCACCGTCGCTCCCACCCGAGCTGATTAATTAGAAATGTTGAATTGACTCAAGTTGGAACTGAGCCGCTCACATACATCAGGCGAAGGATTGCTCTTGTCCTGGTGTGCGCGCGTCTGTTAGCAAAATATCTCATGACCCACTGGATTGATTTGAATGAAGCTTACAGAAAGTGATCACCTGATGAACATCTACAACTGATCACCTTCTGGAGTCAACTTGATTCAAGATGGCCGCCACAGTTTACTGATTTCACAAAACACCAAAATGCCCATAATTTAGTCAATTTTACATAAATTCAGATAAAACTTTTTGTGTTCAAAGCTGAGATTCATTCCCAACATACGAGCATTACTCCATGTGCAAGAATTGTACCTAAAACTTTTATATCATTTTTTGGGGTAAGCCCTCCTTGTCTGTTAGCAAAATATCTCATGAACCACACGACTGATTTTAACAAAACTCTCATAAAGTAATTATTGTATGAACTCCTATAACTGTTTAACTTTTGACTCATTTCTAAATGGCCACTGCAGTCAGTCAGATTTGGTCGATACTGTCTAATCATTGGGAAACGTTTTATGGATAATGTCAAATTTATCAGCTCCCTGAGCTGACGTTTTGCTTATTGTTTTCAAAACAGTGGCAAAACAATGTTTTACTTTTAGCTTTTAGGTAGTGTTTTGCGACTTTTGAGTGTTTCTTTACTTGATATTTGCAAATTATTTCATGTTGTTTCGTAAAGATATTACTGATAAAAATTCAGATAAAAATCTTTGCAGCAGATATTAAACTGCCTCGAACATTTTCGGGGTTTTTTTTTCTTGTGTACAAAATGCTTTCCATACCCTGAAGGGAAAAATTAAATAACAATTCAGAGGTTTTATATTGGATCATAAGGTCGTTTGAAAGCAATCTGAAGTGCATTATTTTAAATAAAATGACTATTCACGTTTGGAAAAGATTCAAGGACGTTGCTGAGAGCTCGGACTGAATGATGTTCAGAGACATGGAAAAACTTGAAACATTAAAGGGTTGGAATAAGTACGACTTGTTTGGAGGAGCTGAAAAAAGAAACAACAAACGGACAGTGGGTTTGTGTCACGTGAACTGAAAACAAGACCTGTTGTCTGAATAGACGAGACCAAAACCCAACACAGCCACAAAACACGAACACGGTGTTGGAAGGCTCATGATTTGGTCAAATTTTCCAGTACTAAGTCAGCTGTAACTCCTAGAGATGAATGTGAGGCCATCTGTCTGTTCGCTGAAACTTCACCCAAACTGGGTAAAAARTAAAAAAAAAACAAGATGGTGCTCCCAAACAAGGTTTTACAACAAACTGAAAAATAAAAGGAAAAAAGTAAAATAAACTAGACATGGGTTTTTACGATGGAAAAACAAGTGTGCATTGCCATGTAGCATGGCTTTGCCTGCAGCAGTGGACTTTAAGAATGAAATGTGACCAAGTTCAAATGTGTTTTCTACCAGTTCATGCTTGTCAAGTCAGCAGGTGTCAGTAATGAGTGTAATTATGTTACAATATGAAGTTTGTAGAGATTTTTTGTTAACATTGCTGTAGCTGGGGTTTGAACCCTGATCTCCCACATGAAAGTCCATAGAGTTAAACATGAGACCATTGGAGCTGAGGCAGAGGGTACTGCCAGGGGTTGTTTTGTATGTGTGCAGAAAGAGGCCACATTGCCAATGCAATTGCTGACATTAAACTGCAATATATTACAGCAATAGAGCAATATTAGGACAATATTATAGTAAAATATCAAAATACAATCATATTAGTATTGTAACTGCTGAACTATTGAGATTAAATATTATTAAACTATGGTTCAGTACTGAGCAGATACAGCAGGAGGCAGTATTGGACCAATACAAGGCTCCATTGACTCCCATTATAAATTATTAAACATTAATATTTCAAAAACTATAAGTTGTACAGGCACCAAAAGGCATAACCATCATTTGGCACAGGAGCTTTACAGATATAAACTAAAAAGGCAGCTCTAGGACAAAGTATGCAGGAGGAGAAGCGTGCCAAGGTGGAGATGACTTGGATGGGAAACGAATCACAATAGTGTGCATTGCATTACCTTTCCTGCAAAAACGCTGTCAGTGCTTAATGCTGAAAGATCTTTGGTGACAGCTAAAGTATCTGCTGAAATCAATCTGAAAAGGTTTAATATCAAAACTGATAAAGTAGGTTAAATATAAACAGCTGACTTTTGCTGAAAGTAGGAAAACATTTTAAATAGGTATAAAAAAGCATGAAAGGGTATAAAACCTGAAAAGAGAAAGAAAATATGGTAGCTAAAATTATATGAAAAACTAAAAGTAAATGAAACAAGTTAAAATTAACAAGTTTCAAATTAGTCAAATTAGCAACAAAAAAAAAACAAGAGAAGTAAAAATAAACTTGCAATTGGATTTGAAATAGCTAAAAAAAAGCTGAAACCAGTCTAAAATAGCTTAAAAAAACAAAGTAGCCAAAATAGCATAAATTTGCACAAAGAAACAGAAAGAGCATGCTTGCTGAAACATTATTATGAAACATTGTTGTATCACAAAATGGTGAATTTAGCTGAAAAAAGCTGGAATTTACTAAAAAGTAGCTATATTACAGAAAACATGAAATTAGCGGAAAGAATCTGAAAGAATCACAAGAAAGTTTTACTTAGCGGAAAAATAAAATGTCAGAAAAACTGTTTAAAAAGCAGAAAAAAAGCTAAAATCATCAAAATAGAATTCCAGGCAATCTGAAATGATCAAAAAAAAAGAACCAAAATCTGAACAAAAAGTTAAAAAGTGCAGTGAAGATTTATGATCATTTGATAGGTTTTGATAATGTTGAAAACAGCTTCATTTATTTTCAAAGATGAAAAAATGGCAGAAAATGCTAAAACATCTCAAAAAGTATAAATTGCTGAAATAAAAAAAGTTATGGCAGGAATGTCGTGAAGGAGCTGAACATTTTGTGAACATGTGAATTATTGAAATAGCACAAAAATGAAGGTGCTGCAAAGTTAACAAAGTTTACTTTATTTTTGCAAAATAGTTAATTTATCTGATTCCTAGTTATTAATTTTATTATCAAACCCAGGCAGTTTCTATCACTTATGACTAGAAAACATTATAAAACAATAAAAGGCTGGAATTGATGTACTCGTTTAGTCATTTTTTTTTATATCTTATTTCACATCAGTCTCTGGCAGATGGGATTTTAATCCCACTTCCCCTTGTGTGTCCTTCTGATCAGATTTATGCATTGATCCAGTTAAAGACAAATTCAGGCTGACATTCAAAAATACTTCATTAACTGACCTGAAAAATAACTGGATCGTCTCCACGCAGCTCCGATTTTTAACATTTAGATGTAGCCTAATAATGTTTTACCTAAATGTGGACACCTTGAAAGCTTGTGTCTGAAACACCAAGTCCAAATAAGATTAGGATGATTTTTTTTTCATGCTGAGGGAGAAGGGGACACAACTAATGACAAAGTCAAACAATGTCGTTCCCCTATTGTTTTTGCATGCATAAACAGACATGGCCGCTTCTCTTCTACAAGCAGCTTTATGGCTAATTAAAATGCAGGAAGATTGACACAGGTCTGCATTTAGCTCCAAAACGACCTCCTGTTGTCAAGGATATATGGCCCTCGTTGTTTTGTATTTTTTTTTTTTCAGCGAGGACACAAACAATGGCCGAGGCTTTTCAAAGAAACGCCTCTTTGTGGCGTGGAGGTATTGTTTTGGCTGCAGCCGTTTTGTTTCCAGGAATGCCTGAAATTCTGTCGGAGCACAGCTGTCACGGGAGTTGATGAGGGCGTTAAAGCTCAGCGACTGGACAGAATCGTTGCCTCGCATCGCTGTCTGGGCTTTCCAAGAGGAAGAGGATTGTGTTGGTGAGACTGAGAGCTGGGCTTCAGTGGTTTACCGTAAATACACACTCCTTAAGTTATGTTGAACAAATATTTCTCGTCCCACTCTGGTGGTTGTCTGATTTATCCCCGCAGCAAAGATAACACAGCAGTCTGGGTTCAAATGTTATCTATTACTTAGAAAAAGTCTTTTTTACAAGGAGTTGGGAATGTTTAGGCCACTTTAGAAGAGCTGTAAAGGCAAAAATAAGACATAATCTGAGATTACACAAGATTTACCGTGAAAGACTACAACTTTATGTTGTCATATGATGGTGTTAATTATTTAGTATCACTTTGTTGTCAATCTGGATTTTTTTTGATGTTCTGTTGTTACCATAAAATAACCTTTTTCAGCTAACTTTAGCTTTCCGTTGGTCCTTTTTGTTTCTTTTTGTAAAGACTTTTAGCACATTAAGTCTCAGCAGCTCCATCATCCATGATGGCAAAATCATTTTTTTGTCATTGCTGGAATTTTCCCAGCCTGCATTAGGCCTACAGCCTGTCCAGAGTGCTTTTATCTGGTGACACCTGCACCGCCACCAAAACCTCGATGGGTAAAAAAGCTGATTCAGATGACGGCTGCAACCCCAAGTTCATCACTGAACATCTTGTTTTTCTTCTTCTTCTCATGTTTTACAAACCAGAATGATGCCCAGGTTGGATGAAAGATCCTCAATGTTTGGTCACCGTTAGCAGTGGAGGAATCTGTTAGCCTTCAGAAAAAAAGAAAAAAGAAATAAAATCTGCTGGATGTTTCTTCCCACAGAGACAGTTTTCATTAGTTTATTAGGAAACTAATGAGCAAAATTACAAGTCATAATTGACAGAAGAGGCAGCCTAAGGCTTTGTCAATAGCAGCACCTCGCCCTGCGTGAGAAGCTTCAGTGGGGCTGAATAAATCACCAAAATTGAACAACCCTCCAAAAAAAACCATATTAAGTCTCTCCTCGTGTGACTGGCCAACAGCAGGAGTTGTGCTGTTTCATTTCATTGTGATTATCCCCCTGCCTCGATTGTCGAAAGCTCAAAACCAGACTGATTAGCTGGCCCTCGTTTTAAGACGTCGATGGCTGCCAGTGAGGCTAAACTGGGTTTCAAGCTTCTTGCTTATGAATGCAGCTTTGAATGAGTTTTTATGGGAGCCAATCTGCGCTCGGCTCATTGTTCGAACTCGCGCCGTGTTTCATTATGAAGAAAATCGTCGGAGCGTACAACTATTAAATAGGATCAGCAAATCCTACAAATCCCAGCGACTGCAGCCGTGGTGGATCCCAGCTGACCACCACGCTGGCTCCACTGACTGCACCGAGGCCGACTGACGAACTGGTGTCGTGGTTTTGGTTAAAGTGGCATCATGAGTGGATTCCAAATGTCATGATTCTTGTTATGGTTTTTCTTAGTAGTTTTCAGACTGTTTTTCATTGTTTGATATTGTCTTATTTTCTCATTTCCTGTTCAGTTTCCTGTGCCATGTTACCCTCAGTCAGCTTCTTAGTGTTTTTCCAGCCTGCCCCACTCACCTGTCCATAGTCAGTAATCACCCAGGTGCTTCCACTCCCCAATCATCCTCAGTAGTATTTAACCGGTGTCTTGTCTTCATTTCCCTGTTGGATCATTGCTTTCCATGCCTCGTCTCTGTCCATGTTTTCATCTGTATTTTTGCTGCCACGTCAGCCTTTCTCTTTTGTACTTAAAAAAACAGGTTTTGTTTTTTTATTTATCGAGTCTGCCTGCACTTTGGGTTCTACCACATCAATCCTGACACCAAATCAAAAATAAGGAACTGGATTAACATATTAAAGGCCCAACTTCAAGGAATGCACATTGACCGCAAGCTGTCATCATGTCACAGTTTTAGACTGAGATTCAGCTTAATGTTGAAATATGATCGTGTTGTCATCAAACCTTGAAATCCACATTTTGTTTAATCTTACATAGTACAAGATCTCACACTCAGAGGATGTTTGAAAGGATTTTCAATTACTACTACATGAAAGTTTGGGTGATTTTCTATAAAACTGACTGAGTTATGTCTTCTTTGTGTTTTCTAAGTGTTGCCATACGGGGGCAATCGGGGCTTTGTCCACCCTTAAAAAGTTCATGCTTTTACTAGCTTGCACATTGTTAATTTCCAATATTTACCTTATTTTCCCATTGGGATCACAGATCTCTTTTTGCAAGGGCAGCCTGGGCCTGAAGGCAACCTATTGTGCATGTTTTTGGGGTGTGGGGGAAACCGGAGTACCTGGAGAAAACCCACACAAACACAAGGAGAACATGCAAACTTCACACAGAAAGGCCTCAGGTCCAAACCGGGGATTGAACCCAGGACCTTCTTGCTGTGAGACGTCAGTGCTAACCACTGAGCCATCATGCTGTGATGCTAGTTATTTGTTTATGACATCTTTGAATTATCTGTACTAATACTGGTGGGTTTATTGTGAAAATACTCACAAATATACTGTTAAAATAATGCACTGGTGAAAATAAAAATGGTACAATGAGGACGGAAAGAAATAGATATAAAGTATTCTTTGCATAAAAAGTACGTTAAATGTGTTTTTGGTAGGTTATTTCTTTGTTATAATAATGCTTCTTGGTAAAAAAATCTTATACCCTAGGAAAGCCTGTTCATTTCCCTTTTAAATGGTGCCACATTTGTAAGGAACATGCAGCTGTGAGATGAACAGTAGAGCTGGGCACATGAAAGATTTGCCAAATCTCTTCCAAACAGCTTATTTTGCTGTTATTGACTCTTGTTTTGAGCTTCTGGTAAGTACTGCCAATCAGGTGCCGCCATATGATTTGTTGCCAAAAAAGCGTTGTTACAAAAAGATGAAGGAATAATCTACCAAACACAACTTTACTTTTTGTGCTAAGTTTAAACATCTAAATAAAAATGGAAGGCACATATCAAAGTAAATAAATATACATTATTACAAACACCATTTGTACATGAACATTTGAAAAATATATATTTTTAAATAATCCATCCATTCCTGTGTATATCTCTGTTTGGTTTTACCAGTTTGAGCCCCCCTCCCCCCACCTCCCCAAACCTACAGCACCTGAAATCAGGTCACCTGGCTCCCACTGATGCAATATTTCTATAGGTGCTTTTATTTGACAGCACATCCCATGATCACTATCTGGGACAAAGACTTATTCAGGAGAGCATCATCTATCATGAATGCATGGGTTATGTTTGTGTGTGTGTGCGCGCATGTGTGTGTGTGTGTGTGTGTGTGTGTGTGTGTGTGTGTGTGTGTGTGTGTGTGTGTGTGTCTCAGACCGAATAACTCTTTGAGTGATGCAGTATTATTTTCACACCAACAGAGGTCCCATTTTTAGTCATTTATGTTTGAGTGAAATGATCAACATTTGCTCCGAGCTGCAGCCATGAACTTAGCCACTCTGACCCAGACTCTGAAAGTAATTAGACGAACATATTTACTTCAAACCTCTGCTTGTGGGACGGAATGTTCCCACCAGGACTAACAGGATCAAGAGGACAAAACTGCAACTGCTACTGTGTTGGAAATTGATAGTAGAAAAGAAGTGTTTGTTCTGTGTCTGTGGTGAGGTAACAAATAGTCAAACTGATCTTGATAGGAAAGTTTTTTTTTTACTCAACCATGAACAAATCAAAGCTTTTTGTTTCCAAATGTCAACCATTACCCGGTTGATCTGATGAGTGGAACAAGATTTATATCGGGACAAAGTCACTGTCACGGTTTCTTTAAAATGATCCAGCAGATCTCAGTACTCCTCCCCCTGCTGTTCTTTCCACTCATGTTCCACACATGATCCCTGTGACCTGAACACAATGAGGAGAGTGGTGACGTGTGGCTGAACCCCCCCCCCCCCCACACACACACACACACACACATACACACACACCCCGCCGTCAACACCGAGCTCAACTGACTGATCAGCACCCAAATGTGGACCTGTGGATTCCTCTGCATCAGCCGGGCCCCTTCTCTTGACCCCGTTTACTGTCGAGTAACAAACCTTTAAATATGATTCAGCTGATGGTTGGGACTCGGCTGCAGCATTTTCTGCGTACGCGGACTGAGCTAAAGTGGCCGAAAGTATACGAAATGTATCAGATTACCAAAAACATTAGGGAAAAAAGATAATGCGGAATCAGTTTTTATCAAATAAATTGAGACATTTAGAAGAAAATCAGCCTGGCTACAGAAGCTTTTCTAGTTTTTACTGAGAAATTATACTTTATCATAAATTTAAGCCCAAACGTAAAACTTGTGATAACACACGCACACATTCTGTCCAGCTTTTCATGTGGGTTTGAGATAGTTATAAAGAGCACTGAGTCCTCCTTGTAGTACCTCCTGGATGGGCTTGAGGAGGGGGTTGTGGATGATATGGAGTCCTTTGTCCAGTGGGTGACAGGCCAGCCGCCCGAGCCGGCTCAGTAAGTACAACTCAACGGGGACGCTTTGCAGCTCGTTAAAGTCCACGTTAAGGAGCTCCAAAGACTCCAGGAAACACAGAGTCTTCGGCAGGCTGTGTATGCTGTTTCCTTCCACAATCAGGATCTTCAGGTTCACCAGGTCCTGGATCTGGTCCGCGATGGTCTCCAGGCGGTTGCAGGCCAGGTGGAGGAACACCAGGCCCTTCATGCTGTAGACGCAGGTCGGGATGTGAGCGATGCGGTTGTGGCTCAGGTTGAGTTTGGTCAGGCTGCGCATGGACGCCAGGCTGCCGGGGAGCCCCGAGATCTGGTTGTTGGCCAGACTCAGGACCTCCAGGTGGGTGCAGGAGCCCAGCTCCTCGGGGACTTTGCTCAGGCAGTTGCAACAAGCGAACAGCACCCGCAGCTTCTTCAGGAGGCCGATCTCGGGGGGCAGGCAGGACAAGTTGTTCCCCCACAAGTTTAGAACCACCAGGTTGTCCAGAGCGCCCAGACTGGGGGGCAGCGAGCACAAACTGTTCATGGACAAGTTGAGCTTCTGGAGCTCGCGCAGCTCCCACAGCTCGCAGGGGGTTTCATCCAGACCCCTCATGGCTAAGCTCAGGGTGCTGTAACCAAAGTGCACCGTTGTGTATTTGCGGATCCGCTCGGCCGCCGAGGAAAAGCCCAGCTGGTCCCCTCTGAAAGTGCTCTTCCTCCTTGGAACCACGCTCACCTCGTTCAGATCTTTTTTGGACGAACTGCGAGACTGCTTCCCACCCATCGTGGTCCCGGCGCTACTGGTTCACAGTCAGCTCAGTCACCAGCTCTGGAGTTCCTGAACATCATCAGCTTCAGTTCTTCTGGTTGAACTCATTGATTCCTGGCTGAGTTTTCCTGACTGAGCGGAGGTGCAGGC